TTTCTCCTCCTACTTCCTGCTTGCATCTGACGGGAAAATGTGCAGAGAGAGAGAGGGGGAGAGAGGGAGAGGGAGAAAGAAGGAGAGGGAGAGAGAGAGAGAGAGAGAGAGAGAGAGAGAGAGTGAGAGAGTAGTAGTAGTAGTAGTAGTAGTAGTAGTAGTAGTAGCAGAATCTGGCACCAATCGACAACTTTACACTGTGAAAGAAAGTAACCTGGAGCCATAATTTATATATTGGTTTTGTACTTTTGTTTTCTATTAACCAGTTTAAAAAACGGTAGTTGCATTGTGTCGTACTACAATGTATATTTTTAAAAGGAAAACTTTATAACTTACAGAAACCGTTGGGCCGTTGTCGGTTTCAGAGCTGGTTCTATTGTGTGTGCGGGCGTGGATGTCCCCCACTCCCCCTTTGCTATTACCTGGATGCCCAGGTGTCCGTGTCCGCCCCGCTCCGACCCCCTCCCCCTTCCTCCCTCTTGTACACACAGCCCCCTCCAGATCACGCGCGCGACTGTATGGAGACTGACCGGACGGGTTTGCTGTGCGAGGAGGACATCAAAGAGGGCGGCGGTGAGCAGGCGGTCCGGTGCCCGCGGGGCTGACCGCCCGGCTGTGGTTCGTCGACCTCGGGTATTGGGTTAGGGCCACCCCGTCCGCTCAATACGGCGTGCTGCTGCTCTGAATCTAATCGTCTGGACGACGCTGTGGACAGAAGGCGTGGGGTACGAGTGCCTGTTCTACTCGTGCGACCATAGTACCCTGGAAAAACTAATGTTACCGAGGAAACGTTTCTTGACGCAACCAAACCAGGAAACGTTTGGTGATGCAACCTGTTTGTGATTGCTCTATCCTTTTGCATGAGGTAGGTTGCATCAGGAAACGTTACCTGACTTGGTCGCCTGAACAAAGAACGTAACTTGTTTTGAATGTGTTCATTTTTTTTTTATTTTTTTTTAATGGACACTTTTTTGTTTTGGGGTGAGGGTCACTACTTGCCTTATGGATGAGTCACTTTTGTTTTGTTTTTTTGAGACAACGAAAAACACTAGATTTTGATTTTAAGTACTTTGTCGTTGGCAGTGCGTGTCCGCGGTGGGGTCGAAAGCCACCGCAGCGCGCGCAGCGAGGCAACGCCTTTTATAGGCCGTAAAAGAGGGTTGTCTCTCTCGTTGCGGGGGCCACTGCACTAGTACTGACGACTCCGAGTGACGATCACTCACAGAGCGCTCTGCTCGACTCGGGGTCCTCTGGCCCTGTCTGGGGCGGGGGAAGGTCGACTCTTGCGGATAAGGATGAGAATTTTCCGGTGAAGTATTTTTGGAAACGGTTAGAAAAGGTTTATTTTTCTTCTTATCTGGATTTTTTCTAAAATTTTGAACTTTTTCTTTATGGGAATACGTCGACTCTACGAGTTTTTTTTTTTTTGGAAAAGTTTCGATATTTTTTTTGGAAAGCGTAGGGTTTTAAAATCCCTACTCGTGGTTTTGGTGTCGCGTTTGTGTGGCGAGACTTTTTGTGTTGTATACTGACCTTGGCTCGACCTTCTTGGTGTGTTGCAGGTGTCCTGAGCTCGGCGTCCCACGGCCACCACCAGCACTCTGACCCGTTCAGCTGGACGACGCCCCGGGGCCCCGCGGCGGGCGGCGTCCTGGACCTGCACCCGCCTTCGGCGGGGGCGGCGCCGGCGCTGGCCTCGGAGCTGCGGTCCAGCGAGGCGCCGCCCGTGACCGAGTACGTCATCAACGAGCACCAGCACGCCGTCCTCACGTGCGACGTGCCTCCTGAGCTGCTCAACCTGGTGCAGATCTTCTGGTACCACGACAACGTGCCCACCGAGACGGTCGTCCTCGGCCAGCTCAAGGCGGGCAGCAACGGCGGCGAGCCGGACGCCGGGCGGCGGTACGTCCGGGACCCGTCGACGGGGTCGCTGACCATCTCCGGGGCGCGCATGGAGGACGACGGCGTGTGGGGGTGCCAGGCCAAGGAGGCGACCTCGCGCCGCGTCCTGCACTCGGGCCCCGCCGTGCGGCTCGTGATCCTGGTGCCGCCGCGGCCGCCCTACCTGCTGCTCGACGGCCGCCGCCTCGACCCCACCAACCTGTTCGTGCCCATGCGCGAGCACGGCACCCTGGACGTGGAGTGCGTCGTGGAGGCCGGCAACCCGGCGCCCACCGTCACCTGGCAGATGCTGCTGGCCGAGCGGCTGCTGCCGCGCCTCGACGAGGCCGTCGACGACCTGGTGAGCACCGTGGCCGTGGACAAGCCCACCGGCCTCGGCGGCCACCTCAGCAGCCAGGCGCGCGTCCAGCACATCGTGCGAGAGCATCACAACGCCACCGTGAGCTGCCTCGTCAGCCACCCGACCCTGGCCGTGCCCTACAACGCGACCATCCTGCTCGACGTTCAGTGTGAGTACCACTAAGCGCGGCCGGCGCGTCAAGTCGTCTAGTTAGCATCATCATAACGGTCCAGCAACCCATTCCGCTGGGAGCTCCCCGTTGGAGTGCGGTACAAGTGGGCGCGCGCGGCCCGAGCTCGGGCTGCAGTCTCTGCCTGCAGCGGCACAAGTTGGGTCGCAGGGTGTAGTGGCCGTGGTGGCGGCGGGACCGCGCCCCGCTCAGCTCACGGAAGTTTTTGCCTGTAATCCGTTCTTTTCCATGCAACGACCTCGACGACATAACTCAGGCGAGCATGGGGGTTGGAGGAGAGGGGGTCGAACGGCGTGGCTCTCCCCCACTCCCCTTTCTTCCATTTGCCCCCCTCCCCCTCATCCCTCCCGCCTTCTACGCTGCTTTCGGGTCTTTGTGAAAAAAAAGAAACGAACGAGGAGCTCTCTGAGAGCGTAGCTACGCGGGGGTGAGGCGAATGCCATGTAAATATGGAGACATCCACGCGCCTGAATATGGAGAGCTCGAGTGATTCATCGGGAAGGGAAAAGACTTCTTGAAAGAACATTGCCCGAGGGGGAGGGGACGGGCGTCGGAACGCAAGTGGAGGCTTTAGCTTCTTTGCCTGTATCATGTTTGGATTTTTAATTCCTTTTTTTTTTTTTCAACCCGACTCGGAATACGTACACGTTCTTTTCGATTCTTCCATTTCGCTTCCCGCCGCTTCCAGTCTGTTTTACAGGAAGAACAGCACAGTCTTTTTGACACCTCATTTTGCATCGACCCCCCCCCCCCTCTCCCAAAGCGCATAATGATCGTCTCTTCGGTGCGAAA